TATGTGTGTATGTATGTGTGTATGTATGTATGTACGTGCGTACGTACGTACGTATGTATGTATGTATGTATCTATGTATGTATGCATGTATGCATGTATGCATGTCTGCATGTATGTATGTATGCATGTATTATATATATATATGTGTGTGTGTGTGTACTTGTATGTGTGTATATATACATATACATGTATATATATACACATATACATATATAAAAATATGTATATGTATATATACAAGTACACATATATATACACATTATACATCTATATACCGTCCATTGAAGACGAGCAGGAAAAGTGCAGAAAGTGCTGTGCTGCGACCGTGGCTCGGACCCAGGCTCCCCACCTACAGCGCATAGCAAGGCGGAACGATGTGGGGTTTAGGGTTTAGGGGATTAGGGTTTGGGGTTCTCTTCCTCGCCTAGAGCTGGAAGGCAAGAAGAATGGTCGAGCTGTGCGGAAACTAAGACCCAATTTGGAATGCAAAAGAGCTTGTTGCTGGCTTTCGCGGGTCTCGGCGTTGTTCGGGATACTCTTCGGTGGCCTGCTTCTCCAAGCGCTGCCGGAGCCATGGAACCAGAACCTCCAGCACCAGCCTCTCGTACACGGCAAGAAAGTCGGAAGCCTGCAAAGGCAGGTCTCAAAGGCAAGCTTTCAGTCACGTCAGGGAACTACGCAGTTCAAAAAGCCTCTGTGAGAACCTCGCAAAGCCGCTGCCGAGCTGGAAAGGAGCGAAAGATGCTGGGGATGGCCTCCACTCGGCCGAGCAGTTTGAAGTGCGTCTCTATCTATCTCTACATGAATAAAAAATATATATATATATGTACATATTGATATATATATATATAGAGAGAGAGAGTTTATATGTATGTATACCTACACGGACGCTATGTTATATTAACAAAGAAAAATAATACGCCGAAATGCGTGAGGTATGTGCATCTTTAGAAGATTATACTTGATTATACCCACGACATGCCTCGAAATCCTCCAAGGCCTTTCTCTCGTTCGGGAAGTGCCCGACCTGGTTCTGTACTGCAGCACATCTTCTTGCAGAGGGATGCTGAAATAACGAGGCTTGAGCGTCCGCGCCGACCAGCAGGGAAGAGATCTGCTCGCGCAAGTTGTAGTTGCACTGGTCAAACTGCAGAGTTTCCTGCATTTTGCATATAAAAGCTGCCGTGTTCGAGGTAAACACACAGACGCAATGGTTCGGGTCCTGCACTCGCAGGGCAGCAGGTAGGTCACGGACAACCTGCGGTGCCTTGGCCGTGATGAGCAGTCGCTCGCCTGCACGAGGCAGCAAGAACGCTGGGCGGAAAAGGCAGCACGGGCGCACCTTTGCTTGCGCAGTTCTGCGAGTCACAGCGACCCGGCATGGCCAGTCCCCAGGGGCACTCGGAGCCCGCGAATTGCAAGGAAACAACACGGATAGCAACTACTTACAAAGCTCTCTACACGAATAAATCCTGTCAACCATTGTCAACCCAAACAGCTGCAGTTCGTGTTCGCCACGATGTGCTCATGCAGAGAGGTCTGATCGTCTCGCCGGGCGGCGAGCACAGGTTTCCACATAGCCTTTCGGCATGCCGGGTGTCTGTGAGGGCCACGCCTGCCAGAGCTCCACGGCTTGAGTGCAACAAAGGCTTGAATCCCAGCCCAGCGCCAACCTACCAGCAAGCTGAACGGATGCCGGCTGCACTGGCGCCTGTCAACACTGATTTGCTTCACTTCTCGACACAATCCTGGCATGATTCCAGTGTCGTTCTGTTAGCAATGCCTCATGTAGTACGAGTACTGTACAAGTTGAACACAAACTTGAATCGGCCGCTCTTTCGGAGCCCCATACGATGCAATCTATGCCAGCAGCGCGTGCTGCAACCGTCTGTGTGCCACAAAAGGTCACCCAGCTGCAACCTTGGCTGGCAGTGATGAGACAAGTAGCGACGACGACCGAGGGCTTGTCATACTTTCTTCAGGACTGAGGATGCTGCGGAGCGGCCCAAGATCTAGCCTCAAGCTGGGAGCAGCAGCTCTGCAAACTGCCATGTCTTCGGGACTGATGGCCTTCTCCTCTGCCAAGATGGCATCTGGAAATCTCAGCGCTACCTCACTCAGTTTTGCACCCATTGTCCCGAAACTTCCCAGGCACCCCCAAGGGGACTCAAAGCTATCCGAGGCAAAGTGGCGAAGAGCTGACAGGTCCCTAAACTCAGCGGGCCTGGGCGGGAAGCTGACGCCCTTTCAGCACAGCAGATATCGATCGCCATCCAAGCATCTGAGCCTTAAGGGAGCGGAGGTGTAGTGCTTGTTTGTCAGCACTCTATGCGGCATGCTGGCTGTGCATCACGACGTGGTGTTGCAGTTCATCCTGTACATTGCAAGATGCCGCAAGCAGGCATGACGATATATGGGATCCTTTGACTATGTGGCGGGTGATTGCCGAGTACGCTGCTCGAGAAGAGAGCTGAAATTCAACGGAGTGAGTGCTAGCATTTTCTCCGGCGATTATGGCATCTCTCCTACAAGCTGGTACATAAGTAGTTTCGCACGCACGTGTCGGCAATATCCAAACACAAATATCTAGGATAGAATTGAAACTGATGCACGGCGTGCTGGGACATGTGTATTTTTACAGCACATGCTTCCATCTCAATATTTCAGGAGCCGGCGTGTGTCCGTGTGTGTGTGTGTGTGTCTGTGTCTGTGTCTGTGTCTGTGTCTGTGTCTGTGTCTGTGTCTGTGTCTGTGTCTGTGTCTGTGTCTGTGTCTGCGTCTGTGTCTGTGTCTGTGTAT